CTTTGTGTGATGCCATCAAAGTCACAAGAATGGCATAGGTATAACCAAGATTATCTCCATTAATCTGTGGCATTACACAGATGCAGAAATGGTTGGGGAAGAAAGAGTTTAATTCCTAGAGCCTGCAGCTCCTGAAATTGAATCTCAATTAATTCCATTTGCAAATGGAAGAGCCTGAAATTGCCGTCACCAAACTCTAATCCTAGTCATAACAAGTCTAATTAATAGTATTTAATAGATTCATCAGAATCAAACTTACCCAACCCACCAGTGAAACAATGAATCAATGCAAAGAGAGTGTCACAGAGACTCGGAGAGGTCCTTATATACCCCGGGAGCTCTACCTCCCAGAGAGAAGAGCCTGTGCTGTACATGATGTACATTATTTCACAGGTCCAGAACTGCCCAGTTTGCAGAAACAGGTATTTTTTTCCTGATCTTTAGGAGAGAAAACTCCTCGCTCTTATGCATGTTCTATTCTAGCAGCAGAAGGCTGCTCTGTTTGCCACACCTGTGCTTGAAAGCTTGTTCTTATTCCAGTGTTTTCTAAATGCTCTACTCTAAAGCCCCATGGCTTCAGTCCTGCCAGAAACAACAATAGAAATAATGCAGGCAGAAAATTCACATGGAAATTGAAAATGTCGGGCTTGAACCTCAGGGATATTCAAGATCTTTTCTGACTTCTTTAAAAGCATCAGGTAACCTTAATCCAAATGCAAGTGGTGCCCTGAGAACCTCCCTCTTGCACCAGGCACCTGCCTGACCACCAGCGAATCATAGAATGGTTTGGGTTGGAAGGGGTCTTAAGGACCAGTGAGTTCCAACCCCCCTGCCCTGGGCAGGGACACCTCCCACCAGCCCAGGTTGCTCCAAGCCCCCTCCAACCTGGCCTTGAACCTTCAGCGATGGGGCAGCTACAGCTTCTCTGGGCAACCTGGGCCAGGGTCTCACCACCCTCACAGCAAAGAAGTTCTTCTCCAGATTACAGCTCAATCTCCCCTCTTTCATCTTAAAACTGTTCCCCCTCATCTCATCGCTCCCCTCCCTGATGGTCCCTCTCCTCTCCAGCAAGCTGGTATTTCATTCCCTTCCAAGAATTCAGGGAAGGCTCAAATGCAGGACCATACTCAGCTTCTCCTCTCCAGCAAGCTGGTATTTCATCCCCTTCCAAGAATTCAGGGAAGGCTCAAATGCAGGACCATACTCAGCTTCTCCTTGTTGTCCAGCGGCAAAGAAGAGCACAAAGAGGGAGTGACCCCCAGGCTGCTCTACTTTACGATTGCACGGCCCAGAGTAAGGGCTAGAAAAGGCTGATGACAGGCTAAACTCCAACAAGTTCCTTCCTGAGCTCGAGTGCACGAATGGAGCAATTGAGAAATGGTCTCTTTGATGTGATGGCTGACTGGAAAGTGTCCCTGTTGTGCCCAGTGGGTTTTTCATGAGGCAATCTGTTGTAGTCGAGAAGCACTGTAATTCTGCAAGAAGCAGTTAGGAATAAATTTAGGCGGGGAATTGGGAGAAGATTTTCAAGAAGCAGCGCAGGGAGGCTCTGGAAGAGGCCACCAAATCAGAAGATTGTAATTAAAATATGCACCAAGCTTTAAGATGAAGGCTTGTGAGTTTATGGAAGAGGTTTTATAACTATGAAAGTAGAATCACAGACTTAAAGCGGTGATTCAGCCATGTGCGTCTTGAGAGTTGTTAAACTAATCCATTAATGTAGGTCTAATAGGAAATCCTCTGGTTCCTGGGAAGCTCAGGTGCTGTATTGCACCAAAAAACGAAGAGGAATCACTCATGGAATAACAGGCAGGGAAAAAAATATTGAAGCATGGATACTTCATATCCAGTACTTGGAGACTGCAGGATTTGGACATCCCTGAGGGTGACCAGCTTCTCTTCTGTAACACAACTTGACACCAGCACCAGGAGAGAAGATAAAGTCTGCAGATGCTTGAGTGACTGTACCCACAGGCAGACAGACCGATACTAGGAAATTCAGTAACAGGTTATTATGTCTTTTGTCTCGTGAGATGAGTCAATCAAGATGTCCACCCTGAAATGATGACAGACACAATAATAAAGAACAAGATGGGGTGTTAACGAAACAGTGTCTAGTTAAGCCATCAGGGCGAGTCGTGTCTTGGGAGATCCAGTTCAGCAACTTCTGAATCACACCAAGACATGAAATCCAGGAGTGCAAGAGTTTCCTCAGATCGTTTTTCTCTGTGCACAAAGGTTAAAAGTACTGGAGGGAGAAAAATCAGAGAGTATCCGTGCAGATGTGAGGTGAGGATCATCGTGAGCATTTCCCATCCTAAGCTGAGGTTCTCTGCAGTAGCCTTCACTTCTGAGAAAGATAATCCTTTTTTTTTTTTTGGATTGAAGCAATACAGTTTCGAGACCCTTAGAGACTTTGGGACAATCATGTCACATAAATGTACCAAATAAAGTACACAGTTACAAGCCTCCATTCAGAGCTGCTGCTGCAGAGCTCCTAGGGCATCTCAGACTTTTGGAGATTAACTGCTTGATCATAGAATCACAGAATAGTTTGGGTTGGAATGCACCTTTAAAGGTCATGTAGTCTGATCAGCATTTGCAAGGCCACTGATGGTCTGCTACCTAAGATGTGTGGGAGCTGGAGTAGCATTTTCTATCCAGAAAGAAGGATGGGCTCAGGCCAGTATTTTCCTCACTTGTGGTGTTATCTGCCCTGAAATTAGTGGTACAACTTCAGTATCAACTAGGAGCTGAGCGGGGATCCTCCAGGTGAGGAGCTGCTGAGCTCCACGTTCACTGTGAAGCCACCTCACTCAATGCACGTTTCTCCCATAGTTTCCCGAATGTTTCGGTGAGGCAGGTTTCACTGCGTACAGCGTTTGCCTCTAAAAATAGCCTTTGTGCAATTCACATGGAAGGGGAAAGCAATTACACCTCTACTATGGGAAAAACATTCACTCCCTTTCCACGGGCTGACTTAAGAACCTCTTCGATGATAATTACCACCATTTTTCTGCTGAAGTTGCTGACACGGAGGTGAAATGACCTTCCCTGAGCCTCTCCAGACCTGGACCCAAACCAGTGTTTAAGGTCAGGACAGCCCCACCTTCTGATCTCCAGACAGGATTCAGGTCGTTTCCCTTCCAGCTATGGAAAGTGATTTTCTTTAATCACTCGATGTTGCAAGTTGAGGCTGAAAATTAGACACCTAAATATTCCAGAAACCTCACTGCTTGCTGAAATCAAAGCAATGTCTCAACACGGAGCCCTGGCTGTGCAGTCTGTGCCTCAGCACTGCTCCACAAGTGCTACGTGCCCTCTTGCTCTCAGGTGGGGCATAACAAAGGTTACTGAAGTTCTGACCTGCAGGTGCATATTTGGTTGTGAATATTGCACAAATATTTAAATGCAATGTTTGATCTAATGAAATACACTGTCTCCTCCTGAACCGAGCTGCTCTGCCCAATTCAGGCCAAGTGCAATGATAAAACCCACTTTTTTTTTACAAGTCTGAGCTTATTCCTTCTTATCTTCCTGCGTTGAAGGGCTCTATTCCAGGAGCCTATCTCAGCAGAAGGGCTATTTTGATAACCGCGAAGCACGATGCTCCCTAGAAAGCAGACAGGCAGGTTCTCCACTGCTGGAAAGTGTCCTAGTTCCTGCCTTCAGCGGAGCTTCGACTGCAATTTGTACCAGCAGAGCAGCAGGGGAGCCCTGAGTCAGGGCTGGGCTGGGATTTTCCCCTCGCTAGGCATGGCTGGTGAGTAAAACTAAGCATCTTCCAGAGCCAGGTGGGGCCTCACCTGCCGTGAGGTAAGAAAGGAAGATGCATGGATGAAGTCACACTAGAGGAGAAGATGTGGTCTAAAATTCAGGTGTTCTGTCCTTCAGTTGCCAAATGATTATTACCAGAGGAAGTTACACCACAGCTGGAAACAGCTGCTGACATTCGCAGCCCAGGAATCCCAAGCAGGGATGGGTACCAGCTCAGCCTGTCTCAACGATTGCGTCTGGAGTGCGTGTTCTGATAAGAACTCTGGTAAAATGGTCAAAGGTAGTCCCAAGACAAGCAAACGTGATGAAATTCACCCCTGTGTAGGACACGTCATCTCTGCTGCTGAAAATAATCCTACCATCAGAAATGAGGACTGTTTGACCTGTATCCTGATAACTCCCTGAGATTTTGGGGTTAATAATCAGTGAGCTATTTTCGCTCAGTATATTTTTTACATGGAATAATGCTTACACAGATAATAAATGCTTGCATTTACACCAAACTGTATGTGCTACAAGCTCCCTTTATTTCACATGTAGACTGAAGCATCTTTTCAAATGCCATTCTGGCATCTAAATGAGACCAATGTCCCAATTGCATTTGGATGTGATAAAACTTGTACACTATTAAAAAAAAAAATCCCTCTACTTTTCACATGATACATGAGATAGATAAACTCAGCTCCCTCTTCTGCCACATTTAGATGAGTGGAAGCTGCACCCTCTGCACTGTGGAAAATAACAAGCATTCAAAATTATCTGTTCTGAAACAGGAGAAGAATGAAATCTATTAAGATCTTCATGGGCAAAAAAAAATAAACCCATCCATCATGAGTTTATAGAATCACAAGAAAGTCACTTTAGAGAAATCATTGATGAAAATCAAGTGAAAGAAGCACAGATTAGCCCCATTCTCTCCCCCCCCCCCCCCCCCCCTGCTAAGAAGGGGGGAATTAGCTGACACGAAGTGGTTCGTGCATGGGTTGAAGTGCAACCGCGCTGGTTGGCACCACACCAAGTCCCCTGGTCTTGGCTGGGTCTGCAGTGAATCTGTTAACCTGAGGGTAGGACCTTTATTCACACTGAAAGTTTTTTGTTAAGTCAAGGAATTGAAAGGCATTGTGTACCAAAAGCCTCTCTTCACAATGCCTACGTGTGAAACAAGTCTGTGGAGGAAACGCACAACGGCAGTTGTGAAAGAATGAGCTCATTACCTAGGAGGACTCATTCCCAGAAGGCAGGGCTTTGAAACCATATAAAAGTTCTCAAATCTCCGTGCTCCACCATCCACTTAACTTCGCACTTCTCCCTGTTGACCAGCTGGGTAAGTTGGAGAACACTGATACTTTTTTCGGGTTGTCTCTAATTTTACTGCTTGGCTTAATGTGGGCAGACTCTTTAAAGAAGCGTTTTATTTGATACCTTTGAATATGCAAAAATTCCTGCAAAGAAGAGAAATTGTGGGCATTGGGGTAGTACAAGCAGTCTTGAAATTACTCTGCAAAGCAAATTCAGGTTGTGTGTAAATCTGAGGATAGTTAAGTGCTAAATTAGATCCTTTCTGAAGAAGAGATGAGATAAAATTATGTTGGTTTGAGTATAACTGATCCTGCCTTCAGGGAAGAAGAAGGTCTAAATGGTATCCTACAGCTCCTTCCAAATCTGTTGTATCTGTGATTCTGCTATTTATAACAAGAATATTTTTAAAACTTCAGTTTCATTGAGGAATTATTTTATAAAAGATGGATTTGGGAATATGAGGGGCTGTACAGAGCAGAAGAGTGGAAGTATTCCCAGGGTGCTGTATCATTCATGCTAACCATGTCAAGAGTGATGTATTAATTTGGTTTAAGATCTTATCAGATGCTTATAAAGACTATATGTCAAGAGACAAGTGATATTGATCTGGAGCATCTAGGAGGACGTAGAAGAGCAGAATGAATGTGCTTTGAAGAGGTGCTGAGAGGGAGAGGCAACATGGGGAAAGGAGAACACACTTGCACACTCTCACAAGATCTGTTTTGGTATTAGTCCTGTGCTGAGGGGACTTAAAATGCCTCTTCCAACCAAGCTTTCTGTGATTCTAACCTTTTGTTTGTACTCTCAGATTGTCCTTAGAAAAACAGCGAGACAGGATTTGCCAAAGACACAGCACCAGCTGAGCCTGGTGCCTGCCTCAGAGAGGGAGTTCCATAAATTAGGAAAACTCCTTCGGGCTCTTGCACATGGGCTGTGGCCTTGGAAGAAGAAATCACTCCTGATTATTCTGATTCACACCAGCTACATGTGTTATTAGTGGCCATGATAATCCAGAAACATAGGGATGCGTTAGCACTGTTAATCCTTTCCATGAGAGCTGGAAGGACTGTGCCACAGGTAACCTCAGTCCATTACATCATCAATGAGGTCAGAGTGAAACTGGAGCAAGAGGAGGAGTTGGCCGATTGTTACTGTAGGAACTCTTAATGATACAGAAAGATATCAACTTACTGGTGAGGTCCACGCTGAGACTTCAGCACCTCAGGTTTCTAATTCCAAGTAAAATCTGGAAACCACTTTAAAATGAGCAAAATCAAATTAAGTATTTCAGTTTTCTCAAGGTCAAGTATCCTGTTGGGCCTAGATTTGTGTTTTTCTACTTTTTGACACACCAAACATTTTTAAATGTCTGTCTTCAGCATTCATTATTTTTTTACTATCATTTTTTGACTTTCTGAAACCGTTATCAAACCAGCAGATCTGTTATTTGCCAGCTCCTCTCATCAAGTCCCCAGCAGAGAAATAAAAGGGAGTTAACACGTTGAAAAAAACTAAACAACAGGAGGAAGAGCTCTAAAGTGTAAATCAGCTCCAACATCAAAGGAGTGGCTCAACCTCAGTCAGACCTGACAGGGCAGTCCTGCATTGAGATCAGAAAGGAGGAGCAAGATAAGGCAGAGTCAGAGCAGAAGCCTTGGGAAACCAAGGGCCAAGTAAGAGAACTTTGCTCTTGCAGCTGATTCATGTTTCTTGTCATCATTTCACTCTCATCCCAACAGTGTTCATTTAGCAGACACAATAACACTCTGACATTTCTTTCAGATAATCTTGTTTCCTGCAAAGATGTCTTTGAATCAAATGCAAATCAAGCAGGAACTCACCCTCCCACCTGGCCTGAGCAAAACCGTTCCAAAGCAAAGCCAAGAGCCAGTGCCGTATGATGAGCCGGTCCCATGTCCAGAGCAGCAAACTGAAGTCCAAGTCCCAACACCTTGTCCAGAACCAGTCCCAGAAGTGGTGGTACCAGAAAAAACAGTGCCGTTGCCAACACCAGTGGTGGAACCAGGCAAGGGAGAAACACCAGAGGTCGTCATACCTCAGTGTCCACCCCAGGAGCAGCAGCAGCAACAGCAATGCAAGCTACCACCAACTCTCCCACCTGTATCGTGCCCTGAGCCTGTTCCATGCCCTGAAGATAAACCAGCATGCAAAGAGCTGCCGGTGCCAGTCCCTGTTTCCTGCTCTGAACCAAGTCCATCTCTGCAGGAGAAGGAAGAGTGCAAGGAGACCCCTGTTGCAGTTCCTGTGACCTGCTCGGAGGCTGCAGAGTGTCCCCAAGAGAAGCAGCAGTACCAGGAGATCCCTGCGCCAATCCCCGTTCCAGGCCCTGAACCTGTGCCATGTCCCCAGCAGAAGCAGGAGTGCAAGGAAATCCCTGTGCCCACCCCATGCCCTCCAGAGAAGCAGGAGTGCAAGGAGACCCCTGTGGAAATCCCAGTTCCAGGCCCTGAACCCACACCATGTGCCCAAGAAAAGCAGCAGTGCAAGGAGACCCCTGTGCCAATTCCTGTTCCATCTCCTGACCCTGCACCCTGTCCCCAGGAGAAACAGGAGTACAAGGAGATCCCAGTGCCAGTCCCCGTTCCTGAACCGGTGCCATGTCCCCAGGAGAAGCAGGAGTGCAAGGAGATCCCGGTGCCAATCCCTGTTCCTGAACCTGTCCCGTGTCCCCAACAGAAGCAGGAGTGCAAGGAGATCCCTGTGTCAATCCCTGATCCAGGGAAGGGCTCCCTTCCAGAGAAGTGTCCCCCCATCGAGCAGCAGCAGGTGAAGCAGCCCACCCAGTGGCCACCCATGCAGAAGTAATTTGCCACTGACAAGGGGAAGCCCTGAAGAGAGAAGAAGATTGTCAACCCGGACCTCCTTTCCCCACGTCTCACAGTCAGAGGTCATTTTTCCAACACCCTTTTCTTCACTGCAGAATTCCTGTCAGGAAGCACAGCTCCCAGCTCCCCCTGCAGCTAACGCCAGCATCACCCCATACTAACAGCCCCGTGCGAACTGAAACCTTGGGACTCTTGGTAGACAATAGGGCTTCGGGTGGTGGTGTAGGCATGTGCACCCAGCTTTCCAGCAGCCTGAATTTCTGCCCTCTCCCAATCACCCTGCTGGCTTTTAAAGGCACAGAGAGAGAGAGACCAAAGAGCATGACGTCATGCTCGAGTCGTAGAATGGTTTAGGTTGGAAGGGACCTTAAAGATCATTTCATTCCAACCCCCTCCCATCGGCAGGGATACCTTCCACCAGACCAGATTGCTCCAAGCTCCATCCAACCTGGTCTTGAACCCCTCCAGGGATGGGGCAGCCACAGTTTCTCTGGGCAACCTGGGCCAGGCTCTCACCACCCTCACACCAAAGTTCTTCCCCACATCTCATCTCAATCTCCCCTCTTCCAGTTTGAAGCCTTTACCCCTCATCCTATCACTACATGCCCTTGTAAAAAGTCCCTCCCCAAGTTTTCTGGAGCCCCTGTAGGGACTGGAAGGGGCTTGAAGGTCTCCCCGGAGCCTTCTCTTCTCCAGGCTGAGCCCCCTTAACTCTCTCAGCCTGTCCTCACAGCAGAGGGGCTCCAGTCAGGGTTTATTAAGCTAAATATTCAAATTTAACCCAAATGCAATTAGGGACCTGCAGCTCATTGTCCAGACCTGTGCACCACCTCCTGGTTTTCATGCCTTCCTCCCCAGCTCCCTGCACTCTAATGCCACCCCTCACCTTGCATTTAGGGGTTTTGCCTACTACTAATAGGATTTGAGGTTTGTGCAGAACCTGCTGCTAAGGGGTTCTGGTCAGCAGTAGCAAGACTTTCTGAATCCTGAATCCACAGTGCTGAATATATTATGCAGATTAAAAAAAAAACCATTGGGCTAGAGGAAATGCAAAGATTTTTACAGAAGAGCCAACACCTCGTAATTATCTGCTTAGTTGAATTGGTAGTAATCAGTGCTTTCCTCAGAGAGCTCACCTTGGCTTTTCTAGGATGTGTAAAAGAACAGCTCGAGCTGAGATTATGGAAAATATATAGATAATTAAATCCAATCCAGACATGTTTTGAAATAGATTAACCTCAGGCGTGGCTTCCATCTGCTAGACAGGATAAAGGAGGAAGCATACCCAGTGCTGTCTCAATTACACCCTGGAACATGTTTCACCACACGGTCTTGTTGCGTGTATATTTGGCACTTACCGCTAATTATTTTAGGCTGATATTGTATCCAGGATTTATTTCACTGTGAAAATCAACAATAAAAATGACTTTGAATACCAAGTTGTGGAGATTTTTAATAGCTTCTGCTTAAAAAGATGAAAAGGAACCTCAGCCTGCAACAATCAGGCACTTTTTAGCCTCAAAGATGGACAAATTGGGACTCAGAAATTTGGGTGATCGCAGGGGATCCTGGGTCCATTGCTCATCTCCAGGTGCCCAGGTTGGAGAACCTGCAAGAACCCCTGAACTGTGTCAGACCACGGGGTGGCCGATGGCACTGAAACACTAATTGTGCTGAACCACCCCTCAGGACACCCTGTCCCACACAGCTCACACCAAGCTGTTCCCTGCTCCTTGTTTGTTGTGTTGGTGTCTATTTTTGTCAGTTCGGTTGACGGTTGGACAAGATGATCTTTAAGGTCCCTTCCAACCTAGAAGATTCTGTGATCAACCTGCCCCAATTTAAACATCCTGAGAGCCACTCTGTGACCTTCAGCAGACATCAGCCATGGGCAGGTCTATGAGGCAGGTTGCAAGCACAAGCAAACGAGTTTTTCCCACACTTCAGCTGAGCCAGGAGCGATGTTATCTCCTCAGCTTGGCCCCATACCTCTTTGATGGGTGTTGGATACATTCAACCTCCTTGTCTGATCGCAGAATCACACTGAGACACACAGCTGTTGGTTTGCAGAGCAAGTTTGCGTCTGTCTGCCAGACACCAATATTATATCACTCAACAGTTTCTGTACTTATAATTTTTCCTCCTCTACTCTTCCAGCTGACTGGAAATTAATTAGCCAAGCATCCTGGTTTGAGGTAAAACAGAACCAATTTTCCCTTCAGTAATGTCCTGTCCTTGGCTGAGAAACCAAAATGTTCTGGATCCTCTTTAAACCAAAACTATTCATTCTGAGCAAGTAAAAGCTTCCTTCCAGAGTTAGAACCTTCCAAAGACTCTTTATTTCTCAGCAGTTATAGGATAGTTGAGACTCTAAAACCACAATTGTTTTGATAGACCCACAAGAATATACTGCAGAATACTGTGTCTTACAGAAAACCAAGTTTCCCCAGTTTGCTCCAGTTCAGGATCAAAACAACTTGCTAGATCACCCCAAATTGGGAAGTACATCCATCCTGAGCTAGTTTTGGCACCCAGGCAGAAGCTCTGTCCCAAAGGACACTGAATGTAAAGGCTTTTTCAGAAATTGTGATAATTTTGTGTCCTGTTTGCTCTAGAAATTTCCCTTTTGTGGTCTCCATCATCATATTAATAGCTGTAGGTTTCTGGAACTATTTGAAATAAAAATATGGACAAATGATTCCTTGGGAATTCTGGAAGACAAATGTGCATGGGGCCCTGTGTACAAGTATATGTTTAAATGTAATTCTTTGGCTAATAAAAGATAGCGAAATAGAACGAGTGACACTAGTAAAGTGAAAAAAATATCAGGAAGCCAGTAATGAGGTTACTTTTCATTTTATTGCTGCATGTCCCAAATTAAAGATCAGAAGAAAGCGGCCCCATGATTATTTTTTTTTTTTATAGCAGAGGGTGAATAAATCCAAGTAAATGAATTGCATCTCTTTGTAAAGTAATTTCTGCTCGCAATCAAAGGAGGCGTGCTGCAAATTTCTAGCTATTCTGGCAGAGCCAGCAGGCAGGAGGAGAGCTTGGAAACGAGCATTTGCATCTTCTGTGGCACTTTGTGGCCACTGCTGTCAGTGCTACTTCTGCTTGGGGCATTGCTGCTGCTGCTGTTGCTGGGGGATGCTCTTCACAGGACACTTGACTTGTCCTTTTGGGGCCTGGGATTGCTCCACGCACTTTGGAGCACACTTTTCCTGGCATTTTGAAGGGATTTGCTGCTGCTGTTTCTGCTGATGGGAAGACATCTTCGCTAAGCCTGGAAGAAAACCAAGGTGCCATTTCAGTTATTTTTAGCCCTACACACGTCTCCTTTCTGGATATTATAGTTTCAGTCAGTTCTTCAGCTTTGACACCAAACCAACAGTGAAGAGCCTTTAAGGCTCAGGGTGTAACTGTATTCAAGCATAAATGAATAAAAGAGGCAAGAACCATCCTAACAGAGTTATGATCCAAAGAGGTAAATGGCTACAGAAGCGGAGGGGAGAGAAACAGGGAGACGAATTTTCCTTCTTTCCCTCTGCTCACTCTTTTCTGAGCATTTCAGCTTTGACAAATGAAGAAGCAAGTTTTAATGAAAGCACGCTTAGTTCAAAGGGACCCTCAGCGCAATATTTAGAAGTAGTCAAAGAAACCCATGTCAGAAAGCCATGACTTTTCAGTATTGCAAGTGATTTTGAAAGAGAAAAGTAGTTTGATGACAATCCCTTCTGCCAACAGCCACGTCTCTGCTTAGTTCACTGAGACCCTCAGAGCAGGAGCCACGTCTCTAGCTGTTAAATGCAGGTGGCCTGTCCTCCTGCTTGGTGATTATGTGAATTTACACAAAGAAGTGAAACTCAGAGCCCTGAAGATCCAGAAGACTGCAGTGATCAGCCCATGGCTGCTTGATAGATGGAAAACAAGCTGCCGGTGGATGCCATCCTTTGGTAGCTGATACTCAATACCTGATGGTTATCCACAAGGATTCTTATCAGTTGGGTAAAAAAAATTATGAGGGTTGACAAGGGTTTGTGGGTTAAAAGAGTCAGCAAGCCACTATCTAGAGCCTCAGAAAGTCTCAAAATAAAGCAATCTGGCTTTCACCTGTGCAGAGATGAAATTGCCAGGGAGATGAGTTGAAACTGTTATTAGGTAAACAGAATAAAATAAAAAAAAAAAAAAATCACCCTGTCTCCCAAGGAGACAGCACCAGAAACCCCCACATATAGAGCTAAAAGCACATAGAGGGACTCACCTGGTGTCTCCTGCTGTTGGAGGAAGAGAAGAAGAAGCCACTGAAGTTAAAAAGCCTCTTGAATGGGAGGCTTTTATACGCTTTTAGAAGTCAGCCCTGGGAGCTGATGACAACAGATTAACTTGATGACCAGAATCTTTCACAACCAGAACCTGCTCCACTGACACCTCCGTACACCTGGACTTCAGTCAAGGTCTGTGAGATGCCTCCTCTTTCAGGTGCGGGGGATTTGTTGTTTTTAATGCAAGGCACACCCAATCTGGTAATAAGTGGCTAATTTATTGATAATTCATCTTGTCCTGACCCTGGGCAAAGATCCCACAACTCAACTCAGGTTTGAAGGGGTTGGCTTAGATCCTTTCTGGAGTGAGCAGAACACATTTGCATAAAGTTTAGGTGTTTCCTGATAGTTTTGTCTGTGATCACCAGGACGGAGCTCCAGCTGGCACAAATCCCAGTGGGGTGGGGAGGTCTGGGTGCTGCATCCCAGCTCCTGGGAAGGGCAGCAGGTCTGCGTTTGGCACTCTGTGCTTTTGGGCTTTGCTTCTGTCCTTCTCTATTTTCCTTCCCCAAAAGGGAGAATGAAACATTTTATATTGCCAAGAAACTAGAAAGCTTTCCCCATATTTTTTCTTGCACTTTCACTAGCTTTTCAATGAAGCAACAAAAAACTTCTTTTTCTATAAACGCTGAGTTATGCTTGCTGAAGTTATGGCAGAATTTCTTTTTTCTGGGGATAGATCCACGTCTATTCCTTGAAGTTTTTCCAAGGAAGGAGCAGAGAAAAAGTTTCAACTGAAACATTGTCTTTAGCTCTAATGGAGAAGGTAGTTCAATCCTCCCTGGAGCATTCCTCAATGCTATGCCCCGTGGGGTCAGATTCAGCCCTGGAATTACAGTCCAGTCTCCATTACGGATGTGTGATGCTCAGAGAGATGATGCACATGGATTCCACCGGGTGCAGGAGAGCAGAAGGTGTTAATGGAAAAAAACATCATCCCAGATCTTAACATCCCTCGTTCCTGCCTGATTTTGTAGAATCATAGAATAGTTAGAGTTGGAAGGGACCTTAAAGATTTCCCAGGGTCTTCGTGACCCCAAGGCTGACATACATCAAAGGTTACTAATTTGTTGTAAATATTCAGGAGACTCGCATAGAATAGTTAGAGATGGAAGGGACCTTAAAGATTTGCCAGGGTCTTCATGACCCCAAGGCTGACATAAATCAAAGGCTACTAATTTGTTGTAAATATTCAGGAGACTCTTAGCAATGCCCAGACCTAACCACAGGTGCATAGAGGAGCAGTGTGTCAGGGCTTTTGCAACACGTTTTTCCTACAGGCGCAGGAAGTGTGATGAGCACAAACCAGCAGGTCCCTTCTGCCACTTCCCCTGGGCTTTCAGAGCTGCATGTCCTCACCAGTGATGACTGCGCCTGGTGCAACGTTTGGAGCAGAGAGGGAGAGGGGAAAAAATTTAAATTACTAACACAGCTGATTGATAGAGCTGGATGAAGATGCTTGGAAATCAATCATAGGTGACTAACCTATGAGATGGAGCTCATTAGTAGCTGCATATGACTTCCTGACGAAGGCTTTTTCCATGCCTGGAAGTGGACACTGATGCTACACAACAAGCAGTTATTAGCAAGGCAGAATTCATGGCTGAATCCCCAAATGTTTGCATTCCACAGTAGGAATTAGAGGTTCCCGGTCTTCCCCCCTCCTTTTGTGCTGTGGAACATATGTCCCACCTCCCCCTGTTTTGTCTGTCTGAGCCGAAAGGTGTGTTCAGGTGTAGAATTTGTTTGCCTTAGCGAGACGTGTTTTACCTATCATTATACCTGTTTGATGGTGTCACCTTTTGGTGCTGAGAGAAGTAACACAAAAAAGAATCTGTTAAACTCCTCTACACCCGCACACAAGGTTTCATTAAAAGCTGATTTGGTAACAGTGTTTACACACACCTAAATATAACTCTTTTCCTTTCTAGATTAGATGTTCTCCACCCTTGACATAATGATACGGTAGGTGGGTAGCAATTCTCTACATCCCAGACATGGAAATTGTGTAGCCGTCACGGAGACAGAGGAACGCAAGTCACATGCACGGAATGGAAGACAATGGGAGCATTATCTCTGAAACTCAGCATTTAAATGGGTATAACGTCCCTCCAGACAATGGGCCTCCTTCAGGTTCAAAATTATGACTCCAAATAAAGAGATATCATTTAGAAGTGAATTAAAATATTATCGTGCCTGCCGGTTGTTAATGAACCTGAAATGCCAACCGCTCTGTCAGTCAGGGATGTGACTTCTCCTCCTTGTAGATGGGGAATGGACAGATAACAAGAGCGAGACCTGCCCAAAGCCACGCAAAGTGTCTGCAGCAAATGTGGGCAGAGAGCTGCAATCTTGCAGGGCCTGGACCTGTTCCTGAACCACAAGAAGATTCATCTCCTGAAGCCAAATCCCCTGCTTTCTATAGTTAGTCTCTGAGGATCAAGGGGAGATTCACCAAAAATACCATTTTGGTCTCCATCAAAAATATTAGTTTCATCTCTATCTAGATGTCTTTCAGAAATAGTTAAAATCCCATCAAGAATGTTTCAATTCCTTCTTCCTTGGACTCAGGGCTGTCTTCCACTTAAATTTACCTTTTAACAGTTTCTAAGATTTGCCTTCAAAATTCAGAGGTATAAAGACCAAAATTCTGTCATTAATAAAGGTGAAAACTACATTTCTATCATTAGTTTAATCTAGGACGATGAGATTCTTCTTACTCTCTCTTAGAAAAGTATTGACACGATGATGTTTTGTTTATGGTATTAAAAGACATTGCTCCATGTTATAATGGATGCTCTCTCTGTTTATAGCACTGCATTGCAGGCACAAATCCTCCACAACTGTCACAGATTTCAGAAGGAAAACTCAAGGAAGATGTTCCTGGGTCCAAAGACATGGAAACAGGGAGATGAAATAAAGACAGAAGACACATTATGCCATCAATGGTCAATTTTTATTGCTGCAGATAGACATTAAAAGACAAGAGGAATTACATTAAAAGACAAGATGAGAATGAAAGAATAGAAGGGGAGACATTTTCCAACATCAACTGCTTACAGACAACCATTGCTAATTAACTTCCCACAATGCCTAGCAGTATAATATTGGCCAACCGCGGTCGCCAAGATAAAGGTGCTGAGATAGCAGTAGCAGAAGTATCATAGGAGACAAAGATACAGGCTGAAAATGTTCAGGAAAAGCTTTTCCAAGACAAAAAATGCGTGGGGTAATCAGGTCGGGAGAGGTCTCGGTCCGTCGCAGATGGGTCTGTAACCGGTTTTTCATGCTGTGGATACTCATCAGCCCTTGGACGTTGCAATGTGCCAAGGCATCATGCAAGGCTTGAGCGTTGAGGCCATCAGCAGGGGTGGGAGCAGCAGGTGCTGCAGGGCTCCAGGCACACGGTCTCGCAGGAATCCACGCACTTGGAGGCACAGACCTCCACGCACTGGGGCGGGCAAGGCTCCACACACTTGGTGCAGCACTGGGTGACGCAGGGCTCCACGCACTGGGTCTGGCACTGGGAGTCACACGGCTTCACGCAGACATCGATGCACTTAGGGGCGCAGACCTCCACGCACTGGGTGGCACAGGGCTCCACGCACTGGGTGCTGCAGGTGGTGGTGCACTGGGTGGCACAGGGTGTGGAGCAGACCTCCACGCACGGTGCAGAGCAGGGCTTCACGCAGATGTTGTCGCAGGGCTCCACGCACACCGTCTTGCAGGGCTCCACGCACTTGCCGCACTTCTGCAGGCAAATGGGAGGGGGCAGGCAGGGCTGCTTGCACTGCTCGTAGTAAGACATCCTTCCGAGGGGCTGCTAAAGCTAAAGAGAAAGATAAAAAGAGAGAGATAAAGTCAGGGCACTCGTCTTTTCTTCTTAAACCACAATTCACAGCCTGAGCTCTTGAAACTTATGTAGGAGTCAGCGGTTGGACTGAGAGAAGGGCTGTTAGAAACAATTGCTCGTGTGAGCGATTCTGCAGGTTATTCCTTCCTTCCTTCCTTGGGAACCTGCAGGCATCATTGTTAAGAAGACTAGAGCCATAAAACCTGAATTTTACAGAATTGCCCACAGTTAAATTTTATAGAAGCTGTAACACGAGAACAGTTGATTGCCTTATTTTCTTAATTAAATCAGCAGATATTCCAGGGCCCGTCTTTTGCTTATCACTTCTTCAGTTCCTCACACGCCACGGAGCACATTCCCCTTTGCGTAGATGTTGAACATGCTAATCCCCAAGGACAGACCCCAGAGACCACAAATTCAGACACTATCCCAGATCCTCCAGCTGCATATCACGGTACATCATTGGAGTTGTATCAAAATTCATAGGCTCATCCTTTCATAAAAGAAGGGTTGGCCCAGAGGTTGCAGCTCCCAGCTCCAATTCACTTCTTCATCTTGACTTCTCCCAGATGACTCCTGCAGCTTTGCCCTCAGGTGTTCTGCAGCTTCCTTCTTCCAGATAATGCTTCTTCCCACCCATCTCTTTTGAAGTCCCAAGATTTACTCTGCCAGCATCCACTAATTTATTTAATTTCCAGACTTAATGAGGTATGAAAAAAATGCATGAAGATAGAATACGAAGAAGGATGGGAGACAGCCATGGTTTCTGAAGAGGTGAGAAGATATTTGCAAGCTACTTAAGGAAGAGCAAACTCTAAGTTGTCTCCCCCATTCCAGGACAAACCCTGGAACAGAAACACCAGAAGCAATGCTCTCCTGCCATCAGTAATATATTCCTTCGACCAGACCAACCAAGTACCACAGCCATTGCATCTTCCCCTGATAAATCCGAGAAAGACTTACCAGTTCACCAGTGCAGGTGAGTGAGGGAGAAGTCAAATGAACTGGTGTGAGCATCAAAATGCAAACCTTTTTATATGGCTTGCATGGCGTCATCTCCGGAAACAAGGGAGCCCAGGGGTATGGACACCTGACCACTAACTACCTGAGCAAGCTCCACCTATACATGCTTTACATATTTGTTTACATCCTAATTTTTGATGGAAACCCTCTTCCAGGAAAGACATGTGATCCTGAGCAAATTCTATTTCCACCTAATTCATTAGTCATGTGGTTCTCAATGGGAATGAGACGGTAATTAAAAAAAAAACAGGTACTGAATTAATTGCTTTTCAAAAAGATTTAATATGCTCGGATATTTTCGTCTCCTTATTTCCATAAATGTCTGAATGATACCTTAGGTTTTTTCAATGCAATAAGAATGGATAGCTATTATTAGGGAAGATGGACAATTGATCTGATTTACTATGGGAAATAGCATGTCCTAATTCTCATGGTAAGAAACAGCTAATCCTACAGTGGGCCATCAGCACTTCTACAAACTGTTGAGGTATTTTTTCCTCTAATACATTTTATAACCATGAAATGCACCCAACCCATTCTTCTCCACCATCCATTAACAACATTGATGCTTGGCAATGTCTGTGTGGACACAGATACGTTTTAGTGATGGCTTTTATCAGTGTCAAGCTGATGGCTGGACTCAATGGTCTGAAAGGACCCTTCCAACCTCAGCAATTCTATGATTCAATGATTTACCTTGAGGACCTCTTCAAGCCGTTCAGGGCAAAGTAAAGGGCTACACATTTTGAAGGTAATTTTCTCTGCCAGAGCAGTGTAAAGGGCTTCAGTTTAAGCAGAATTTAGGCCCAGAACTCCGTATTATCATATTGAAGCCTTTTTCTGATCATGAGATCTCACTCAGCTCCACAGCACACAAAAAAATCTTTATTTCTCTGAGATATTCCAATCATGGCGGTGGAATGTGATCATCAGGCTATGTAATCAAATTCCCCAGTGAGATCACTCGCAAAAATGCTAAATGGGCAAAAAAACCCCAACCTCCAACCTGTTCAGCGTGAGCAGCGCATCCTGTTTACGCTGGAAACCAGGAGACCCACTGGAGAATTGCAGGCATTGTCACGGGTTCCTTTCCAGTGTTTACATGGGGAAACTGGAATTCCCGTCCTAAGCCCGTGTGAGCTGACGTCTTTGCACTGCTCCCAACATCCTCCCAGCAACACCTCATGGTTAATTCAGTCTTTCCACTCTTCTTCCTTTGCTGGACAGACTCGGTGCATCACGCGCAGTTTCTCCCAGCGAGACTCATACTCTGCACTGACGGTTTTTATAGGTGATAGGAAGAAATAAGGACGTGTGCAGTGTTTTTTGGTGTTAGACATCTCCTTTGGGGTGAGGAGAAACACCCACGACTGCATCAAATAGACCCTTGTAAGACTGTAAAATTGTAGATTGTAAATCGCGGATTGTAAAATGAACAGAGAGCGAGCAGCTCAGATTTTATCTAATTTTATCTAAACAGATAATCTCTCTCCATCGTCTCATCCAAGACCTAACCCCGCTGGGTGATGCTGAGCAAGCACTTGTCCTCCAGTACACTTAGGTTCCCCCACAGCAGGCAGCAGCCTCCATCACTTATCTCGCCAAGGAGTTTGTCACAGGCCGGTTTGTACAGTTCTTCGTGCTTTCCTCAGGCTCCAGGCTCACCTCTAAAACCAACGTCAAGGACCGGTCCTACATCTCCCTTTCTATAGTGGGTTATTGTATACCCTATTGTTATATTTGATTAGCGAGAAATTGCAACGACTTCTAAGAGAAATAGACATTTTAGGAGACATAAATTGATCTGCATCTGTAATATGTGGGAACATCAGAGGGTTGGATTATTATTCTTAATTGACACTTATTTGCGGATCTCTATTACATTTATGAGCAATTTGGTCATTTGACTAGTCACGTTAACATCGGTGAGTCAGGACCCCACAGCAACATCCTTTCATGGCCATCTGGCTTTGGCTGAAGAGCTGGAAAGAAGTGATTTTCCAAATCTGACACTTCTGGGATCTATTTGACTTCAGCAAGGCTTTCGACACCATGTCCCACAGCATCCTCATAGCTAAGCTTAGGAAGTATGGGTTAGATGAATGGGCAGTTAAGTGGATTGAAAACTGGCTAAAAGACAGAACTCAGAGGGTTGTGATTAGGGGCACAGAATCCAGCTGGAAGTCTGTAACAAGTGGTGTTCCCCAGGGGTCAATACTAGGTCCAGTCCTCTTCAATATATTCATCAATGACCTGGATGAAGGGGTGGAATGTAACCTCAGCAAGTTTGTGGATGACACAAAACTAGAAGGGGTGGCTGACACCCCAGAAGGCTGTGCCACCATGCAGCAAGACCTGGATAGGCTGGAGAGTTGGGCAGAGAGAAACCTAAATGAAATTTAACAAGGGCAAGTGCAGGGTGCTGCACCTGGGCAGAAATAACCCCCTGCACCAGTACAGGTTGGGGGCTGACCTGTTGGAAAGCAGCTCTGAGGAGAAAGACCTGGGAGTCCTGGTGGACAACAGGATGCCCATGAGCCAGCAATGTGTCCTTGTGGCCAAGAAGGCAAATGGCATCCTGGGGTTCATCAAGAAGAGCATGGCCAGCAGGTCAAGGGAGGTCATCCTGCCCCTCTACTCTGCCCTGGTGAGACCCCATCTGGAATACTGTGTCCATTTCTGGGCTCCCCAGTTCAAGAAGGACAGGGAATTGCTGGAGAGGGTACAGAAAAGAGCTATAAAGATGATTAAGGGCCTAGAGCATCTCTCCTACGAGGAGAGGCTGAAGGACTTGGGTCTTTTTAGTCTTGAGAAGACTTAGGGGGGGATCTAATCAATGCTTAAAAATACTTAAAGGGAGGGTACCAGGAGGACAGACGTCTGGACAGGTTCCTGTGCAACCTGCTATAGGTAGACCCACTCTGGACTAGATGATCTCCAGAGGTCCCTTCCAACTCCATACGATTCTATGATTCTATGATTCTATTTAATTAAAGAGCACGTTAAGGTCTCTTGCAGAACCAGAGTCTGGGTGATAGGTAGTGCTTTAATGAAAAGAGCAGGACAAACAACCCCAAACCAGAACCAGGAGAGGACCTCAGCAAGTTTGTGGATGACACAAAACTAGAAGGGGTGGCTGACACCCCAGAAGGCTGTGCCACCATGCAGCAAGACCTGGATAGGCTGGAGAGTTGGGCAGAGAGAAACCTAAATGAAATTTAACAAGGGCAAGTGCAGGGTGCTGCACCTGGGCAGAAATAACCCCCTGCACCAGTACAGGTTGGGGGCTGACCTGTTGGAAAGCAGCTCTGAGGAGAAAGACCTGGGAGTCCTGGTGGACAACAGGATGCCCATGAGCCAGCAATGTGTCCTTGTGGCCAAGAAGGCAAATGGCATCCTGGGGTTCATCAAGAAGAGCATGGCCAGCAGGTCAAGGGAGGTCATCCTGCCCCTCTACTCTGCCCTGGTGAGACCCCATCTGGAATACTGTGTCCATTTCTGGGCTCCCCAGTTCAAGAAGGACAGGGAATTGCTGGAGAGGGTACAGAAAAGAGCTATAAAGATGATTAAGGGCCTAGAGCATCTCTCCTACGAGGAGAGGCTGAAGGACTTGGGTCTTTTTAGTCTTGAGAAGACTTAGGGGGGGATCTAATCAATGCTTAAAAATACTTAAAGGGAGGGTACCAGGAGGACAGGACTGGTCTTTTTTCAGTGATGCCCAGTGACAGGACAAGAGGAAATGGGCACAAACTTGAGTATAAGAAGTTCCACCTAAACGTGAGGAAGAACTTCTTTACTGTGAGAGTGGTAGAACACTGGAACAGGCTGCCCAGAGAGGTGGTGGAGTCTCCTTCTTTGGAAACATTCAAAACACGTCTGGACAGGTTCCTGTGCAACCTGCTATAGGTAGACCCACTCTGGACTAGATGATCTCCAGAGGTCCCTTCCAACTCCATACGATTCTATGATTCTATGATTCTATTTAATTAAAGAGCACGTTAAGGTCTCTTGCAGAACCAGAGTCTGGGTGATAGGTAGTGCTTTAATGAAAAGAGCAGGACAAACAACCCCAAACCAGAACCAGGAGAGGTTCCTGGGGTCCAGGAGGAGACAGACTCTTCAAAGGTTTGGCTGCTGCTGCAGAAGAGGAACCCCCTGAGCACTGCATGCTTGTGCTCAGGAGAATATTTCTGAAAAAATGAGTAAAAAAGAATATCGTCAACATTTTGGCTCCAAATAATCCAAGAGAGACTTCGTATTTCACCACCAAGAGCTACCAAAGATGGAGACACATCAAGATTGGAGCCATTTTCCTACAGCTATAAAAAAATTTGCCTGCAGACATGAAACAGTGCATGGTCACGGGGACATGATTGTTAACATAAACACAGAACTTCCGGATGTGTAGGTGTCATGACTTTGGATTGAAACATCTCAAACTCAATTTTTAGCCTGTGCAACTGTTTAGATATGCACCATTGTGGACTGTTCAGGGAATGGAGCGATAGGATGAGGGGGAAGGGTTTGACCAAACATGATTAAGGTCCTGGAGCGTCTCTCCTACAAGGAGAGGCTGAGGGACTTGGGTCTTTTTAGTCTTGAGAAGACTTAGGGGGGGATCTAATCAATGCTTACAAATACTTAAAGGGAGGGTACCAGGAGGATGGGGCTGGTCTTTTTTCAGTGGTGCCCAGTGACAGGACAAGAGGAAATGGGCACAAACTTGAGTGGGGAACTGGATGATCTACAAGGTCCCTTCCAACTGTAACCATTCCATGATTCTATGGTTCAGCTGGATTTCTGCTAGAAAAAAGTGTATTCATAAATGGCTGAACACTTTGCTTTAAAAATCTAATGCCTCTGGATTTCTTTGCATCCCTTGGTTTAACTAAAAGCCTCCTCAATATTCCATAGGATTCTATGATTCTATTTAACTAAACAGTACATGTTAAGGTCTCTTGCAGAACCAGAGACTGGGTGATAGGTAGTGCTTTAATGAAAAGAGCAGGACAAACCCCAAACCAGAACCAGGAGAGGTTCCTGGGGCCCAGGAGGAGACACTTTGCTTTAAAAATCTAATGCCTCTGGATTTCTTTGCATCCCTTGGTTTAACTAAAAGCCTCCTCAATAAACATCTGTGGCATCCAGCACTGGTCGGCATCAGGGATTTCATTTCACTTATGTTTAGCATCCCATATAGTACGTTTTATACTACCCACATTTTGGCAAGGAAAGCATTTTCATAGAAATCAAGGATTCTCCCCTTATTCTCATCCTGGCAAGTCCTTCCCAGCCCACTCTCCTGCACTTTGTTGCAATTAAATCTTCAAGGCTGGGGCTTCATTACATCCGACTTTCCCCTCTCGTCATTCCCTACCACAACTCCCCGGGGAAGGTGTGAGGGTGTGATCCAGCACCCAGGGAAGCTTCCAGTTTGGGCTGGTCTCCAGGCGGCTGGTCCATAGCTCTGGCCGCTTTGGAAATTGTCTGCATAGCTGAGATGCCAGGAGGCTGAGTCCAGAATGCAATTAGCAACTCACAGGAAAACAAGTGGCTTGTCTAGTCCATGCCCCGGGGACTATTTGATCAAGTAATTAGATCATTACTTCTGGGGCTGAGAGGAACCCAAATACGGCACTATCCGCCTCTTTTCCTGTTTACTCAGGAAGGTGAGTGCTCCATGAAGAATGATAAGTGAGCATCTGAATGCAATTAAATCTGAAAAAGAGGAACTAGATGTGGTCATGAAAAAAAAAAAAACCCTCATCTTTTTTATCATTTGCTTTCTGTTGCAGATATTTGCTTTGATTTCTCAATATTTTCGACCAGGGATCTAGCTTTCCTTAGGTTTTTTTCACATTATTGAATGAATCTGTGTCTTGATCTCTGAGGAATACATTTTAGAGCTCAGAGAAAGTTGCCTGACAGAGGAAGAACTGTGGTCCTACTACATTTGCTTATGCCAAACAGCAATTTTCTCCCAAACTGCGATAACAATTTCAAAGGTGTAGGTGTTCAGGGTGTAGGTGTTTTCATGGGTGTAGGTGTTTCCAGGTGTTCAGAGAGGAAGGGAATCTCTTTCTCTTCATATGGCACAATCCTGTGATGCTCACCTGGAAATGAAGCCTCTGCTCTCTGCTAAAAGGCTCTCAGCCTTTTAAAATCTGAATTTCTATGTTCATATGAAGGATTAAATATAATGCAAGCTTCATGCCATCAGAAGGATGCTACAGAGAAATAGTTCAAGAGAAAATCTTATCTGAATGCCATTTTTTCCACCTGCAGTTTCTTATTTCCCAGGAGATTGTTCCATTTGATTTGGGAGCAGGAGCAAAGGAAATCGCTGCTTCCACGGAACTTTACAATGAGTTTTAAAGGAGTTCTGGAGTCAAATCAGACCTCCGCAGGGACGATTAGGAATCCTCAGTTCTTTTGGGATTTCTATTGTGTAGTCTTTGTGCTTAGGTAACACCTAGAGTCCTTGACAAAGCCCAGACACCGCCGTGGCAAGGGCTGCACAACCAGTGGCAAGAGCCAGGGGCAGCCACAACCAGTTGAGACAGGAGGACGGAAACCAAGGACCTGTGAGGGTGGGACAATTTGTGCGAGGCCGGACTTCCCCAGCCCACGTGCAATGCCACGTCCATTGGGTATTTAATTATCACGACCCACTATTGGTCTGACTCCTCTCCTAGAAAAAAAAAAGCGAGACAGCGATAATTGCAGGTTAGTCACCAGCCACGTGCCCCGGGGCACCTTTAAAGAAGGAGGCAGTGGGTGCTTGCAGACAGAGCTGCGCCCATGTCTGCTGCTTCAGCAGCTTCCCCCACAGCCTGTCTCCCCATCCCTCCTCCCTTCAGCGGTTGCCGATCCCACCCTGCACCAGCTCCACACTGGAAACCTGCAGAGACACCCTTGGCACGTGTCACGGGGTAACTTTGAGTCCCTGAGGATGTTGCCCGCTCTTGGGCAAACCAATGTGGTGCTAAGGAGGAAGCACTGGGATCCCGTTAGCAGATATTCATGGGAGGGCTACCAAAATTGTTCAAATTGCTAATACTAATAATATTCCTGCAGAATTCAGCGGTGGGTGAATCCATGTCGGTCTCCCCGACGGATGAGGCTTGCCCAATTGCCACCAGAGACAAGGAAATGGAAGGTGATTGCAAAAGGTTAAGATAGGACTTCTTACACACGGGTGACAAGTCACGAGGCACGGTCTCCCAGACCTGCTCATCTTCCCCTCATTAGTGGCTTATTTACCCCTTGCTCATAGTGGAACATTTCATTTCTGACGCAGCCACAGCCAGCCCTGAGCTCCTCCAGCTTTGGAGGGGCACTTCAACAAGTGGTTGGGTTTTCAAAGTTTTCTCAAAACCACGGGAGAGGAGGGCTTCCTCCTGCTACTGCCACAGACCTTCCCACACATTCCAGCTGGAGCTGCCCCTCCAAGAGATCAGGCTTTTTGGAAGAAATTAAAAGGGGAATGTGTGAGTCGGGGGGAATGCAAAAGTGAAGGAAACACTTGCAGACAACTGATGCCAAGATAATATATATATTTTTTTTTATTGCTTCATGCAAGAAAAAGAAGAAGATGCCAAGAAATAACAAATGTGGAAATCCCTCCATCCACACCACAGTGCAAAGAAAAATCACAGAATCTCTCTCCCAGGCAATATCCCCGGGGGCACAAAATCAATCAGTTACACGTTAGTTACAAGGAAACGCGTTGTGCGTGAGGTAAAAAATAGTAGAAATGATGCAGAACGTAAGGAAACCCGTTTGAAGATTTACTCTTCCTAGGACAGGAAGGGCAGTAGGAAGGGAAAGAGGTGAGGAAGACATTGACAAGTCCGGGGATCTGTAAACCGTTTTCGTTCCTTAGCCTTTGGAGACTCCCACCACAGGAGCCCCCACACGCAACCCCTCAAGGAGCCATGCATTTACGAGGGCAAACTTCTGAGCAGGTGATGGAGTAGTGTCGGCCGCAGACAGGGGTGCACACACCCTTGCACGGGGGGGTGGCTTGTGTAATGCAGGTGGTGGGACAGGAATCCACACACTTCGTCACAGCCTGAACGCCCCCACAGCAGGGTTCCACGCACGTGGTGGTGCACTTGGTGACCTCCTGGCAGCAGGGATCCACGCAGGTGGTGGTGCACTTGGAGACCTCCTGGCAGCAGGGATCCACGCAGGTGGTGGTGCACTTGGAGACCTCCTGGCAGCAGGGATCCACGCAGGTGGTGGTGCATTCACTCACAGCTCCACAGCAGGGCTCCACACAGGTGGTGGTGCACCTGGTCACCTCACTACAGCAGGGGTCCACACATCTGGTGGTGCACTTGATGACTTCCTTGCAGCAGGGATCCACGCACCTGGTGGTGCACTTGGTCACTTGCCCACAGCATGGCTCCACACACTTAGTAGTGCATCTGGTCACAGGTCTACAGCAGGGATCCACACACCTGGTGGTGCACTTCGCCACTTCTCCACAGCATGGATCTACACACCTGGTGGTGCACTTGCTCACTCTGCCACAGCATGGATCCACACACTTAGTGGTGTATCTGGTGACAGCTCCACGGCATGGATCCACACACTTAGTGGTGTATCTAGTCACGGGTCCACAGCACGGATCCACACACTTGGTGGTGCACTTGGTCACCTCTCTACGGCACGGATCCACACACTTGGTGGTGCACTTGGTCACCTCTCTACGGCATGGATCCACACACCTGGTGGTGCACTTGGCTACTCGATTGCAGCATGGATCTACGCACTTCGTGGTGCACTTGGTCACCTCTCTACAGCAGGGATCCACACACCTGGTAGTGCACTTAATCACTTCACTACAGCATGGGTCTACACACCTGGTGGTGCACTTGGTCACTCTATTGCAACACGGATCCACACACTTAGTGGTGTATCTGGTGACAGCTCCACAGCAGGGATCCACACACCTCGTGGCACATCTGGTCACAGGTCTACAGCACGGATCTACACACGTGGTGGTACACTTGGTGACCTCTTGGCAGCAGGGGTCCACACATGTGGTGATGCACTTGCTCACTTCTTGGCAACAGGGGTCCACACATCTGGTTGTGCACTTGGTGACCTCCTGGCAGCAGGGGTCCACACAAGTGGTGGTACACTTGGTTACTTCTTGGCAGCAGGGGTCCACACATGTGGTGATGCACTTGCTCACTTCTTGGCAGCAGGGGTCCACACATCTGGTTGTGCACTTGGTGACCTCCTGGCAACAGGGGTCCACACAAGTGGTGGTACACTTGGTTACTTCTTGGCAACAGGGGTCCACACATGTGGTTGTGCACTTGGTGACCTCCTGGCAACAGGGGTCAACACAAGTGGTGGTACACTTGGTTACTTCTTGGCAGCAGGGGTCCACACATGTGGTGGTGCACTTGGT